GTTAGCTCCCAGTATGGAGGCAGCATGTGCCCGGCACTTGGATAAGAACCTCACTGCGTTATCCACAGGCAGCGCTTCATTTATTCCACATCACGTCGGCCATCTCAAGAACAGTGTCATCAGCCCCGTTTTCCAGACAAAGAAACCTTGTTTCTTTCTCAACGACTTGGAGAGGTGACTTTGAAGTATTTTAACCCAAACGGTCTGACTACAGAGCTCACCCTTTTAACCGCCGTGTGTATGATTAGACTGGTCACATCATTTTGAAGTATAAAGAAGGAAGTATAAACTGTATAGGGGACCCACCCTGCTTGGGTGGAGAAGAAGAGGCAAGGTAGAGGGAAGATGGAGAAACTGCACCATGCCAGTTTACCTGCTTTGAATCCCAGGGATGACCGTGGCATGTAAGGGCAGGTGCTGAGAGCCCCTCCTTACCCTGTTCTGTGTGAGGAGAGAGGTGCATCAGCTTCCTGTGGATTCCTGTACACCTTTGGGGTCCAAGAGGGGCTTCCTGCTGGCAGGCAGACAGCTGCAAAACCATGTTTGGTTTGACTCTGCATGTGAACGAAGGTCAGGCTCTGACTTTTCTCTTTGGTCTGGAGTGCAGTGGGCTTCTACGTAGTTTGCAGAGAGCAGATAGTTTATCTGATCCTGCCTGCCACCTGGAAGGTCTTGACAAAGGAATTGAACCTTGTCCCTATGAAGTCACATGGGATAATAATAGACACGTGACAGGCCTGTAGCACAGGGTGCTATGTCATCTGTTTGGAAGGGTGTTTTAGTAGTAAATAGCTGGAAAAATTGAAAGGGGGTGACTTGTAGTTTTAGAACTACGAAGTATTTATTTTTCTTTTGCATGGGATCATGTTCTGTTCCCTAATTGTCAACCACTTTCAAGTATTTTCTGTGAATTTCAGTATCAAAAGAAGCAGTCCAGTTTGTGGGGTATTCCCTGATTGGTTGATGGTTCATCTGTTGAGTGACTGTTTACTGAGCATCTTCTATGGGCCAGGTACCATGTCAGCATGGGGGGTGCAGGCGTGAACAGGACAGGTGTGGTCCTCGGTGAGTTTGCACATAAATAAATCACTTAATAAGATCGTTTCAGACACTGGAAAGCACTGAAGTAAATGGTGAGAGGAAGTAATTCCTCCGTGGGCTTTTGCTTTTTTTAAAAAACAGCTTCATTGATACAGACAGACACACTTGACTCATTTAAAGTGTAGAATTCAGTGTGTGTGTGTGTGTGTGTGTGTGTGTGTGTGTGTGTAGCAATTCGCTGGGTTTCGGTGCATCCATCACGAGATTCTCATTTTAGAACATTTATGTCCCCCCACCAAAAGAAACCTCATACTCCTTAGCAACCCATCTCCTTCCCTCTCCCATTCCCTCTTTCTTAGCCACTAATCTACTTTCTGTCCCTATAAATTTGCCTATCCTGGACATTTCCAATAAATGGAAGGTACAATAAGTGGTCTTTGTACTGGCTTCTTTCACTTAGCATAATTTTATCAAGATTCATCCATGTTGTAGGGGGTGTCAGGACGTCATTTCTTTTTATTGTCAGGCAATATTCTGTTGTATGGGTATGCCACATTTTATTTATCTGTTCCTGGACATTTGAGTTATTTCCACCTATCGATTCTTACGAATAATGCTGCTGTGAACGTTTGTGTACAAATCATATGGATGTATGTTTTCATTTCTCTTGGGTATATGCCTAGGAATAGAATTGCTGGGTCGTCCGGTAACTGTTTGACCTTGTGAGGAACTGCCAGATATTTTCCACAAGCCGCTGCACTATTTTACATTTTAGCAGCAGTGTAGGAGGGTTCCAGTTCCCCAACTGTCAGCAACACTTGGTTATTACGTGTCTTTTTTTATTATACATAGTGGGTTTGAAGTAATAACTTATGTTGGTTTTGGCATTTCCCTGATGACTAATGATGTTGAGCATCTTTTCATATGTTTATAGCTCATTTGCGTATCTTATTTGGAGAAATGCTTATTGAAATCCCTTGGTCATTTTTAATTGGATTATTTGTCTTTTGTTGTTGAATTATAAGAGTTATTTATGTTTTCTGTATGCAGATCCTTATCAGGTGTATGACTTGCAAATATTTTTTCCCGTTCTGCAGTTTGTCTTTTCATTTTCTTGGTGGTATCATTTGCAGCACAGACATTTTAACTGATAGATAATATCATGTTAGGTTCAGATGTACAACATAATGATTTGATATTTGTAGGTATTGCAAAATGATGACCACAGTAAGTCTAGTTTAAAATTTCACATTTTTTTTAAAGATTTTATTTATTTATTTGAGAGAGAGAGAGAGAATGAGAGACAGAGAGCACGAGAGGGAGGAGGGTCAGAGGGAGAAGCAGACCCCCCGCCGAGCAGGGAGCCCGATGCGGGACTTGATCCCGGGACTCCGGGATCGTGACCTGAGCCGAAGGCAGTCGCTTAACCGACTGAGCCACCCAGGCGCCCCCAACAAATGTAATTTTATCTTTTTTTTTAAAGATTTTATTTATTTATTTTAGAGACAGAGCACAAGAGCGGGGAGCGGGAGAGGGAGAAGCAGACTCCCTGCTGAGCAGGGAGCCCGATGTGGGACTCAATCCAGGGACTCCAGGATCATGACCTGAGCCGAAGGCAGTCACTTAACCAACTGAGCCACCCAGGCGCCCTAAAATTTCACATTTTGATGAAGGTCAATTCATCTGATTTTTCCGTTGTCACTTGTGCTTTTGGCATTCTGAGAAACCATTACCAAACCAAGGTCACAAAAATTTTATCCCTATGTTTTGTTCTAAAAGTTTATAGTTTTAACTCTTACATTCAGGTCTTTGATCCGTTTTGAATTAATTTTTGTATATGGTGTGAGGTAAGGGCCCAGATTCATTCTCGTTCTTTTGTATGTGAAATATCCAGTCATACCAGCACTATCTGTTGAAAAGAAATTCATTCCTCCATTGAATGGCCTGACATCCTTGTTAAGAGTTGATTGGCCGGGGACGCCTGGGTGGCTCAGTTGGTTAGGTGTCTGCCTTTGGCTCAGGTCATGATCCCAGGGTCCTGGGATCGAGTCCTGCCTTGGGCTCCTTGCTCAGTGGGGAGCCTGCTTCTCCCACTGCCTGCTCTGCCTGCTGCTCCCCCTGCTTGTGATCTCTCTGACAAATAAGTAAATAAAATCTTCAAAAAAAAAAAATTGATTGGCCATAGACACATGGCCAATTTATTCTGGACTCTCAGTTCCATTCCATTGTTCTATATGCCTATCCTTATGCCAGTACCATGCTGTCTTGATTACTGTAACTTTTTAATAGTAAGTTTTAAAGTCAGGAAGCATGAGTCTTCTAATTTTATTCTTATTTTCCACATTGTTTTGGCTATTCTGTGTCCCTTATATTTCCATGCTTATTTTAGGATTAGATTATCAATTTCTGCAAAAAAGCCAGCTGGGATTCTCATAGGGATTACATTGAATTTGTAGATCAGTTTGGGGACTATTGACATTTAATATGAATCTGAATTCATGAACATGGTATTATGCCTTTGCATTTATTTAGATTGTCTCAATTTCTTTCAACAATGCTTTGTAGTTTTTAGTATTTCTCTTGTACTTTCTGTGTTAAATTTATGCCTAATTATTTTATTCTTTTTGATGATATTGTCAGTGGAAGCTTTTTGTTTGTTTTTGTTTTGTTTTTATTGAAGTGTAGTTGATATGCAATGTTTTATTAGTTTCAGGTGTACAACATAGTAAATGTTATGCTGTGCTCACCACAAGTGTAGCTACCATCTGTCACCATACAGCGCTATTACAGTATCATTGACTATATTCCCTATGCTGTACTTTTAATTCCAATGGCTTATTCATTCCATAACTGGAAGCCTGTGTCTCCCACTCCCTATCCCCCATTTTGCCCATCTTCTCATCCCCCTTCCCTCTGGCAGCCACCATCAGTTCCCTGTAGTGTAAATGGAAGTTGTTTTTTGTTTTTTTTTTTTTTAAGATCTTATTTATTTATTTTAGAGAGAGAGGAAGAAAGAGAATCCCAAGCAGACTCTGTGCTGAGCACGGAGCCCTACACAGAGCTCTGTCTCACGACCCTGAGATCATGACCAGAGCCAAAATCAATGGTTGGACACTTAACCAACTGAGCCACCCAGGTGCCCTAAATGAAAGCTTGTTAAAATTTCATTTTGGAACATTCATTTCTACTGTATAGAAATCCAACAGAGTTTTGTATATTGATCTTGTATCCTGTGACTTTACTGAATTGGTTTATTAGTGCTAATAGTTTTTTAGTGAATTGCTTAGGATTTTCCATATACGAGTTCATCTACAAATAGAGTTTTATGTCTTCCTTCCCAGGCCAGATGACTTTTGTTAGGGTATTGGGAGTTTAGTATTGAATAGGAATGGTGAGATTGGACACACTGGGCTTGTTCCTGATCTTGAAGAGAAACCATCCAGTCTTTCACTATGTTCCAGAGGATTTTGAACACCTTAGTGCTATTTCAGTCTCCAGTGCCAACTCTGAGGCCTTGCCCATGATGCTTGTTGCTGTCCCCTAAACTAACAAAAATGAGGAGGTTGATTCAAAAGGGCCTTCCTTTCCAGTTCATACATCCTACACTTTTGTGATTCTGCTTTGATGTTCTTGATTCTTAGCCAGTTCCCTTAGACTTCAGTTAGCTCATCATATAGACTCTATAGAGAGGACACTGGAAATATTTGCAAATTCTTTTTCCATAGCCATTTTGACTACCTTTGACTTCCACAATTCTGAACAGCCTAATTTAGATGGAAATTGCAGGAATTAAAACATGTAAGCAGAAGGTTTCAATAGATCCATCTTTCCTTTCCTTTGTAACTAAACAGCCAGGGAAGAAGATTTGTTTAGGGATGACACTCATTTTCACAAAAGGTCAGCGGAGCACGACTCCTTCCTCCCCTGCTTCTAACCATTAGTACCCTCCTTGTTTTCAGACTCTCAGCGTTCTCATCTCTCCTCCTTCACCATGAAGCTGATGGACAAATTCCACTCGCCCAAAATCAAGAGAACGCCATCAAAGAAGGGAAAACCAGCTGAGGTGTCTGTGAAAAATCCGGAGAAGCCTGTGAGCAAAGTAAGCCGACTCTCTCTAGGTGTTCCTCCTGGCCTTCGCCTACTTCAAGCAGTATGAGTTTGTGCTGTTTTTAAGTTCATTCCCTGGGGATTCAGCTTTCAGTGCAGAACACCTCCTCCATAGCATTCCATGCTTCCAGGCAGGGGCCTTCAGCGTCCTTGTGAAATATGAGCCTTTAGGATGGTGAGTGTTTCTCCTCTTAATCAGAGTCGAGTTCATTCGGCTAGAACAGTTCTCCTTTTCCAGATGTGTCATCCTCTGGGCATGTAAAACAGCTCAGTGCACCATGTTTATACCTCACAATGCTGCCTCCCTGCCCCAGACAGCCCCGTGTTGCCCTGGCACGCACACACTTAGAGGGAGGTTTGTTACGTCCAGAACATCCTTCATTTGGCTTTAGGGCCCATGCTCTGAGACATGCCAAATCCTTGAAACCCGGCCAAGGATGTCCTCAAGCGCAAGTAACCTCAGCAGGGCCAGTCAAGCCAGATATGTCGACACAGCAGCAGATATTCACCAGCCCCTCCCTTCAGCCTCGAACGGCCATTCCAAGCTCTGTAGGAATCCAGGTTTCCTCTCTTCCAGGAGGCAACAGACAGATTTCTACCAGAGGGCTGCCCCCTCCCCTTGGATCTGGAGCAGCAGACAGTAGAGTTTATGTCCACCAGTGCTGTGGCTTCCAGGTCTCAGAGGCAGAAGGTCAGTGTGACGCTAAGAACAATTGGGTTTGCCTTGCCTTCTACTGCAGAATCCTGGGCCATGGTTTTGGGGATGGAAAGAAAAATCTGTTACAATATCCTTGTGTTCGGTTGGGTGGCGACTGTGGGCTTCACTGTTCAGGAAACAGTCCAAGGGGCCTTGGGTAAAAGTAAGAGTTTATCCAAGCCTCTGTGGTCTTTGGAGAGAGCGCAGCACTCCATGACGGAAGCTTGGGGGTCCTTTCTGGGGTTGGTTTGGGTGTGCCGCTTGGGTCCATTGGGTTCTGGGGGAAGTGGGTGAGTCTCATCTCTCAAGACCAGCTCTTCATTCCTTGAGTTGCTCCGGCGATCTGAATAGTTAGGACAGGGAGGAGTATCTGCAGTAGAAGGTGCTGTGTTAGACATCTAGCAGGACTCGGGGTGGTGAGAGTGCACAGAACCAAGTACTCAGAACCAGGGACGCCTTTTGTGCTGCTAACATTTATCCAGACTTTCCTTAGCCTCGTGCGTGCTCAGTGCTTTGCGCTTACTTACTCTCTTACTGAACACTCATAACAGCCCTGGGAGGTGGAAACTTATTTTGCAGAAGCGGAAACTGAGGCTGTAGAGGTAGGAAGCATTAGCTACCGTCACGCAGGAAGAGGCAGTGAAGCTGACTTGAGCTCAGGCCGTCTGACACCCAAGTCAGTACCCTCGGGACGCTACATTTCCTCTTTATGAAAGCCAGAATTTATGTTGGAATGTCCCACAAATCCAAGTGGTAACTCTCACACAACAAACCAGAAAAACAAAATTAACCTTAACAATGTAAAATAAAAAGAAGCCTGTAGAGAAATACATCCTAATGCTCCAGGGATTGTCCACAGCATGGTCTTGTCACGGCCACCAAGTGACCGCCACCGGCAAACACTGCCCTGTTACATAAGCGCAGAATTCTTGAATTTTGCAGTGTACCTCTGTTTTTGTTTTTATTTTGACCAGAATATCCTAAAATTCTAGTTAAAAGTGGAGAACATTAAAGTCTGAAGTCCAAAAGTCTTTTGTTGAATAACCCTTTTCCCTCCCATCCAAGTACTAACCAGGCCTGCCTCATCTCTTAGCAAAAAGAGGCTGAAGAAGAAGAGTAAAAATGTTCAGTGTTTGCCAGATTGATGAAATCCCAGACTGCAGAGTAGGAAAGTAGAAGATTTGGTGTGCACCATAGTTACTTTCTGGTTCAGTCTGTTTAACAATCTCTTGGAGCTGAGTTTGGTTAAAAAAAACAAAACAAAAACCCCAAGCAGAGGGTCCGTGGCCATGTAGCGCAGTGCAGACGGCCCAGAGTAAAGCGACTTAGAACAGCCGTGTTCTGCTAGTTAGTGCTGTAAGAGACTGTCTCAGCCACTCAGTGCTTGGAGCTTTCCCCCTTTCTTCATCACTCCCAAGAGAGGTCGTGGGGGGACATTCAGTGCGAAAGTGTCCTTCACTCAGTGTGGGTTCCTGCAAATTCCAGGGGACGTTGGCAATGTCTGGAGACATTTTTGGTTGTCACCACTAGGAAGGTGAAGCAGGTGCTACTGGATCTGGTGGGTAGAAGCCGGGGATGCTGGTGAACAGCCTACACAGGACAGCCCTCCCTACACCAGAGAATTATCCACCCCAAGATGACAGTAGAGCCGCAGCTGAGAACCCGTGGTGTAGCAGGGGAGTGTAGGTATAGTCTTTACCAGGAAAGAATGTTACTCCGGTTGTTGGTTGTCACCCTTTAAGGGTTGAATTACTCTGCTCTGCCCCAAGTCAGCTGCCCGAGACCATGTGAGTACAAACGTCCTGTTTAGTGAAAGCCCACAGGCAGAACTGGAAATCTTGGGGAATCTGCCAACACATGTGAACTTAGAAGATGCTGTCGGAGAAATCTGAAAATACGTCTGTCATTTGCTCTCATCATTATTGATTACTTATTAGCTCTCTTACCTCTTAGAGAATATTTCCATATATGTTCTCATTTTAATCCCAGTTTATATGCATGGCATTCCCTGTTTTGTTTTGTTTTGTTTTTTATTTATTTTTAAGTAGGTTCCACATCCAACATGGGGCTTGAACTCATGACCCTGAGATCACGAGTCACGTGCTCTAACTGCCCGGGCCAGCCAGGCGTCCCAGCATTCCCTGTTTAAATACAGGGGAAACTGCAGCTCAGTAGATCACAGATTCAAATTGATCTACAGCTTCCTGAAGGTCTCTCTTTGGCCAGGCCCTGTCCTAGGTGATTGCACATGCTGTCCTATTTACTCCTCACCATAACTGCGTGCAAAAGCTTTTTATTATTCCTCATATACAGAGTTTGGGCTCTGGCCCAAGTTTTCTCCATCAAAATCTGGTTTTATTTTATGAACTACTTCCATGTGCTTTCTCATTCACTTCCCCACATCAGGCTCTTTCGATTACCCAGGTTAGGTATTAGCCTCCCCATTTTTGCAGATGAGGAGCGTGAAGCCAGTGGTCCCCGAGCCCCGCAGTGGCTTTGGGTCTAGGCCCTGCCCCAGCACCGCGACCCTCAGGTAGTTTCCGGGTTTGTGGACGGCAGGAGGGGATGCCCCAGTACAGCCGGGCAACTTCAGCAGAGCTAAGGCTTTGGGCTCCCAGTTCTAGCATGTGCTCCATCTAGATGTCTCTCTCTAAACTCTCCGACTGCTGGCTGCACTTGCAAGATGCCAGAGTTGAACAGCCAAAGCTGTTCTGGAGTAGAGGGACTGTGAACGGACAGTTGATTCTGGGAGTGCAGTTTGCTGGAGGGTTAATGGATGAAACCTGACGCTGCTAAGTTGTCAGCTCCTTTAGTAGGAGCCCAGGGCAGCCTGGCTCTCCAGTGGCTTGTTTGATCTCTCTGCAAATGACAGGAAGATTCTTTGTGCTCAGAAGTACCTTCCTGCCCCTTTTGGGTGCCCCCCATCTCCAGGTCAGCCCCCTTCTTCCTAGCAAACCTGATGACACATTTTCTTACAATGTTTCCTGGTTCTTCCCCATCTTTCATCATCCCTGGCTCCAGACACATCCTGATGTGCTGAGATGGCAGGGCTGTGGTCAGGGTCCTCTAGCCAGACTGGCCAGCTGGGGTTTCAGTCACATTGATGTCTGGGTATGATTCCTTCATAGTCACGTTCTTCCTGGCCCCGGCAGAAAGCTCTTGTCCATGAGATGGGAAAGAAGAGCCTGGCTTCTTGGAAAAAGTAAATAAATGTGTCTGGTCGTAAAAAACAGAGAAAAGGTAAAGCGGCCAGTGATGGGGGTGGGGAAGGGGTGCTCCCCCACTTAGAGAACCTCATATTTGGGGTCTGTAGACCACCTTTGGGGAAGTACCCCATTGAGAGAAAGTGAATCGGGTCTTCAGAAGTTGCCTGACCAAAGAAGCTATTTCCTTCTTGATCCCATTTGTATATTTGTCTTTTGATATTCCCACGCATTAAACATGCAATTTAAATAAATTTAAATCGACATTTCCCCATCGTTTAAGAAGAAAAGAGCTAGTGTTCAGAATCATAATCACTTCTTATTACATACCATTTATCTATTTACAGATTATTGTTGAAATCAACTTTTTCTAGAATGTTCTTCTTGCCCTTGGTCGCTGTATTCACTGGACCCCAAAGAGCCCACAGGTGGCAGTTTTCCTCATATACAGGGATCTTAATTTGCACTGGACATGTAATCAGTTTCATTTGGGTAGGGTATCTGTTTTATAGGTCGTCCTTGATCTCCCTTCCCTGCCAGCCAGCTGGGACCCAGGTCGCTGACATTAGGGCCAATAGAGAGAGAGGTTGGGGAAGGGAACTGAGGGGTGTATGTGCCCACTGACTGTGGATTCGAGGTATCCTGTAGTCACAGAGAAAAGATTTGGGCATGAGAATTTGAATGCTGGTAAGTGTAGGGCTCTGTATGTTATTTTCCTCCTAGCTGGGCTTTCTTCGGGAGCAGAAGGACTGTGAATGCTGTTTGCATTTGGTGCATGAGTAGTGATTGAACCATTACCACCTGCTCCAGCTTCTTTGCCTTTTCACCTCCGAGCATCCGCCCCTTCTAACCCTGGGGTTTCCAGACCCTTTGAGAGAGCCATGTCATTTCATTGAGAGGGGGCTGCATCTTTGGGTTGAATGTGGGAATCTAGTGAGGGGTCCTGGAAAAATGGGTTTTGAACACAAATGCCTCTGCCTATCTTATACAGTCCCTCAGATCTTTGAAAGGCCTGGGATCTCTTGATTTGATTTACTGGATAGATACGCACGATGATGAGACCTAACTGTTGGTTCTCTAAGCTTCCTACAGCCATCAGCAAATTAGTCCTCCCTAGGCTTCATGAGATTAGCGGTGCTATCTCAGTGTGGTAGAGGAAGAGAAGCAATTTTCAAGACCTCAGGCCACATCAGTCTGTACGAGGAAGGGAATTCAGGAGTATCTCAGTGAACTTTCCTGGTCCAAGCTCCCTTCTCCTTCCTTCAAGCCTAGCCTCTGTATCCTGATTGCAATCCTTAGAAAGTAATTTGGCTTGGTTTCTGCAGCAAGAAGCTTTTTCTGTTTGCATCAGTCTCAAGCTAGTTTATAGCAAATCGTACTTTATTTTTTTCAAAATAGCTCCCGTTAATCTCTCTCCTCCCTCCTATGCTTAACATTTCCTTTCAGAACCTGAGCTGGCTGGAAGAGAAAGAAAAGGAAGTTGTTAGTGCCTTGCGCTACTTTAAGACCATTGTGGACAAAATGGCTATTGATAAGAAGGTGCTGGAGATGCTTCCAGGGTCAGCCAGCAAGGTGCTGGAGGCCATCTTACCCCTGGTGCAGAGCGATCCTCGAATTCAACACAGGTGAGTTGCCCTGAAGTCCTTGGCTGTATCAGAGCAAGGGAGGCCTACGGGCATCTTGGTTTGGGGCACTTCAAACTCAGGGCTTCTAGGAATAGGGGAGAGTGTTGGGAGGGAAAGGAGCCCCATAGCTATGACTTGATGCTCTCCCAAGGTTGAGGTTGATGTTGCTCATGAGGCCTTGACACTGAGGGAGATCTCTCCCCTTGCTAGCGATGGAGCCACAGGGTAAGTCTGTGACTGTTTCTTTGCCTTAGGTCATTGGCAATAATCACATTAAGATTTGGACACGTATCTCACACCCTTTCTTGGGTTTATTGCAGCATTAAATCTTATTAATATCTAATCTGGTAGAGACCTTGACTGCTTAGCTGATTAGGCCAAAAGAGGTAGAAAAGAATCCCATTAGAGCATGGATTCATGAGACATTTAACCGTGTCAAGCCAGGATCTCCCAGACAGCGCCTCGAGTCACTGGAAGCCAGGTATGTGGGGTGGAGTCCGTCTTCGTCCCAGAGAGCTTTTGTGGAGGAACGATTTTAATGCTAGAGTGCATTTTCCCCCTAAAGGTTGGGAGCAGCTTGCGCCCATATCTATTGTTAAGTACAGAAAGGAAAGGAATATTAAATGTAATCTTAAGTGAGAGCCTAGCAGGCGCTTTTCCTTTGAGAGGCTGTCAGATGCCTGCTGGCTTTGTGTTTCTTTTCCGGTACCTGCTCAGGATAAACACATCTCTGTTTTCAGTTCCTTGAGGTGGTTTAATGTTCATACAGCCCCGTGAGACTGAGCTTTTATGAACCGCTTTCAGAACTTGGCAGCAAAGTGCGTAGTTTTCTTCTTCTGGGAGATAGTGCAAACAGCATCTTTATTTCCAAGAAGCTCTCTGCCCTGGGACTTCTGCCCTGGAGTCTCAGCTGACCCCTGCAGATTGTGCTCTTTGGGCCAGTTGGTGGCGGAGGATAAAACAGTGGTATGGCTGTGCCCTGCTACTGTCTTCACTTGTCCGAGCCATGCTGCTGTCCCAGAGGAGGACTACATCTCCCTGGTAGTTAGCCCTGAGCCCAGCTCGTAGAAGGCCCAGCGCTGTTCTCCTTTGAGGGACTGTGCCTCACAGGATGCTAGGGTCAGATGTGTAGACAGCTTTTTATGCACTATTCTCCTGTACCACTACTCGTGAGATGGTCCCTACCACAGGAGAATTAGAATCTAGTAGAAAAAATCAACTTCCCCACGTGTGATAAGGCACAATTTTATGGTACCGAATGGAAGCTCTGTTGGGATTTGAAGGAGGGAGAGTTAGAGGAGAGCCCTATGGCCCAGTTAAACTTCCCGGAGCAGGAGATGCTGGGGCGGGGCGTGAAGGAAGGGTAGGAATTGGACCGGCTGTCGGGGCAGGGGAGAAGGAAAGCCAAGGAAGGGCCTTAGGCCGGCAGGGCACAGGGTGCTCCCAAAGGGAGGAGACGGTGATGGCCACTCTGGGGCATGGACCGAGGGGCCGCGGGGAGTCGGGGCTCAGGCACTGAGCTTCTTGGGGGGAGTCGAGAATGGATCAAGCCATAGCAGTGGTTTGGGGGCATTTTTTGTCTATGAGGATGTTTTATAGCTATTTTGTAGTTGACACACTAGCAATAAAATGTCTAGAACAATTTCCTAGAGGGAAGCAAACACCTGGTGGATGTGGCCATAAGGCACGGTGACTCTTTCCCCTGGTAGTCCTTTGGCTAATACCACTTCCAGGACTTTTCCTCCTGAAATTCTTGTAAAGCCAACTGATATTTTTCTTGGTCACCCTGGTATCTCCTCCTCGAAGTTTCCTCTTCGATTCCTTCCATCCTCTCATCCCTCCCAGTGCAGTTTGTAAGCTGGGAAGGTGTTTTCCTGTCTTCTGCTCAGAGCTTTCTCTGTGGGTTGGGTCCTAGCTGGAGGGGTCTTGGTCGCCCTCCCCTAGGGTGCTGGGACAGTGGAGGGCTGGCCTTAGAACAAGCAGCTGGGCTGCTGAGTGTGAGCAGTATGGGGAGGCTTCTCCCACACGGTGGAATGTCCAGAGACGTTTGAGAACAGGATCTGTGCTTGCCTTCAGTGTTGATGGCTTCACTCCGTTTCAGAAACAGACCAGCCACTGGTCCACTGGACACTGTCACAGTCCAGGACCCTCCTTTCTTTCTTAATGTCTTAGCCCCTGATACAGGAATATTCTGCTTCCAAGCTAATACTGTGAAGGGTGGCCACAGTTGCCGGCTTCTTCGGGTGCTTTCAGGGAAGCGTTACCATTCAGTGTAGGTAGAAATTAAGTATTACCGAGAAATGTCTCCCCCCACCCCTCCTTTTCAGCTGATCCTTGCCAGTAATTCAACAGTGTGATTGGCACTTTGGTGGAATCCCCCATGGGCGCTTTGGCAGAAGGCGGCAGTCTTTGTTCACAGAGGCCTCATCTGGCCCTGCCTGAAGGGGGTGGTGGGGGTGCTAGCAATGCACCCCCACCCCCGCAGGATGGCACCACCTCCCATCCGGCCCCCAGGGAAGACTGAGTTCTTGTCTCCCTCCCTCGACCCTCCTTCCAAGAGAGTGGGTCCAACACCAAGTACTTGTCACTCCTGTTACTCCATGAGGCAGCCAAGCCCTGGCTCTCTCGGGGCCCCTTTGGTAAACTGTTCTTGTATCTAATGGGACTCGAGGAGTTGGCTTTCATTCTTTTGGACTGTTCTATTTCTCCTGTTGGAACATGCACAGAGCGGAATGACTGGCTACATGGAAACTGTAGACGTCCTGGAAAAGTTTTTTCCTCCTTACCTGATTTTGAAGAACTTCTCACCAGAGCATTGTTTGGTTCAGGTTTTTATTTTAAATAGGTTTGTTTTTAGAACCTGGTTTTTTTTTTTTTTTTTTTTAAGATTTTATTTATTTGTTTATTTGAGAGAGTGTGTAAGCACAAGGCGGGGAGGTGGGGTGGTGGGCAGAGGAGAGAGGGAGAAACAGGCTTCCCAACTGAGCAGGGAGTCTGATGCAGGGCTCGATCCCAGGACCCTGGGATCATGACCTGAGCCGAAGGCAGATGCTTAACCGACTGAGCCACCCAGGTGCCCTTTTAGAACCTGTTTTAAGGATATTTTACAATATTATATCTTTTTCTCAAAATTCTGTCTTTGGCTCCTAAATGTCTACCTCATTCTTTTTCTCCCCCCACTTTTTTTTTGAGTGGAGGAAGGGGCATCCCCCAAATTTTCCATAATTTTGCTCTTCTTTTATAATCAATAATATTTAAAATGGAAAAATAATCCTTTCCATAATTCCTAGAGATAATTATCTCTAGTTACTTAAAAATGTGTAGGAGATCTAAAAGGTCTACATTTGGGCCTCCCCTCCCCAGTCACTGAGGCATCCAGAAGTCTCCAGGCCTTGGGCTCTGCGTGTGTGGGCATCGTGGTGGGCAGTCGACGCCTCCCCCGCCACAGGCCTCCTTTCCTCTCAGCTGTCATCTTGAAATGCTCTTCATCAGTGCACTGCTCCATGAAGTTAGTGCAGAGGCTGATGAAGCTGAGCCCGTGTTAGAAGGACTTCTAGTCAGTTATAGATCTGTCAGAGCTCGTGTTTAGAGGCTGTTTCGCTAAAGGATCCTGCCTGCTAAAATTCTGCAAACCCATTGGCTCCTTGTGACACATTTACCATGTTAGTCTGATCGAAAACAAGAAGTGTACGGTGCTTTGACCAATGATGAGTGGCAAGGAGGAGTGGAAGATGGGCCATTCCTTGACAGAGGCCAGAATCTTGCAGGGGGTGTGAGGTTTGAAGGAGTATAAAAACTATGATGGAATTTTTATATGTTCTATTTGGGAAATGAAAAAAAAATTTAGAACAGACTAGGATATAAAGCTCTATACAGTGTTTGTGGGATGTAAGGACATAGGTTCGGGTGGTGGGGGGTTGTGTTATCAGAAAGGGAGGGGGTGTGGCGCTTACAGAAAGATTGAGAAACATGCCCTCATCACCGAGAAGCTGGTTCTGTACTAAACAGTTGCTTCATAATGTAAAATTCCATTATGGTCGTGCTGTAGATGTTTAACTTTCTTTACAAACTCTTCTCTCCCCCAGCTCAGCCCTCTCCTCCTGCTATAACCGAGTGTACCAAAGTCTCGCCAACCTCATCCGTTGGTCTGACCAAGTGATGCTAGAAGGTGTGAACTCAGAAGATAAAGAGACGGTGACAACAGTGAAGGGGGTCATCAAGGCTGTGTTGGACGGAGTGAAGGTAGGATGCAGGTGCCAGGCAGCCTCCCTGCTGGGCGTCTGTCACACAAGACCTTGTTCGCGAACCGGACACATTAGAGTGAATGTCTTCCAGCATCTCTGGTGTGGGTGCGCTGCTCTGTCCCATAGCCATTTATTTCTCTCTGGTACAGATGGCTCTTATAGCAGTAGAAGCCTTGGGAGTGCTCATCTCCATAGCTGGAAAAGCTGCCAGAAGCAGTCAGCCTTTATTGAGCACGTATTAAATCAGTGAGTCTTTATATTACAGCCTTGGCTGTGTGTGCTCCTCCGACAAAATGCGGAGGAGACTGTGCACGGACTTAGCAAAATTCTCAGCAAGTCAGTCTCTACCTTTTCATGTTACAAGAACTTCTGGGATTCTCGGTAGAGAAGCGGGATTGAAGTGAGTAAGAAATGAAACTGTCTGGATTTGAAATCCTTGACACAGTCTGTGACTTTACTAGCCAGGGAAGTTGGAAACAACATGATGGGAAATTGTGAATCATAGTTAAGGTAGGAGGCGAAGGCCATAGAGGGTCTGGAATTGGGGTCCATGGGACAAACTCTGATTTAGAGACAGTAAGTCCTAGTGGGTGAAGAGCAAGGCAGAATATAAGCAATATAAGCAATGGAAGTGGGTGAGGGCCTTTGGGTCAGGATTAGGGCTGTGAGCAGTGGGAAAGTAGAGACCCTGCTATTGTGTGAGGCTGTATTATGTAGTGGAAAGAGGGCTAGTCTGAGGCCTGGCTGGGTTTGAATCCTAGGTTCACTACTTACTAGTCTGTGAACTTGAGCAATTTGCTCAATCAAAGGCTCTGTGCCTTAATTAACTCATCTATAAAATGGGTATAATAATAGTGCCATATATCCTAGGGTTGTGGGAAGTATTAGTTTCTACATATAACGCTTTTAGAACAAAGCCAGCCACATTGTAAGCACTCAGACTTTAGCTGCTGTTTTTTACTAATTTTGTGGTGCTAGGTATATGCTTTAGAAACTACTCTCTTGGCTTGGGGGAATTAAAACAAAACAAAAACAGCTGTGTCATCCTCCTTTCTACCCCCTTCAGTCCAAAACTGTAGCTGAGGTACGTAAAAAATTCCTTCTCCACTCAACCATGCTGTCAGATTCCTAAAAGCTGCCTCCTTGGATTGCCATCCCCCGGAAGTTCTGGAGAGTATTATGTAGACTAAGGACCCCCTACATGGTAAAAACTACAGGGGGAAGGGCTAAGAAAGCATTGCTTAACGTTATGAATTGCTCCAGAATGAATTGTGTCAGTTGGGGAAGTCTTGGCGGCTCCCTGCCTCCCGCACCAGGTCAGTAGCTGCCGCGTCTGCTGAGGGCCTCGTGGAGTTCATTTAGAGGGAGGCGTGGCCAGGTGGCACCAAGTCTCCTCTGATGGCTCAGGTTCTCTTCATTCCCCAAAATTTATTCGGTCCTCTATCCTCTGTTTTCGCCAGTGAGACTTAAGGGTATAGCCCAGAGTGGCTGTCATGCAAGACCTTTGTCACTTTCCGGATTTTGGAGTGCAGTCATACACATTATCCCATTCGATCTTCCCTGCAGCTCTTCGGGGTCGGCAGGGCAGAATGAGACGTGACCTGGGTCCACACTTCATCAGCAGAGTGTGTAGAGTTGTGGCTCACCCACCCCTGGCTCTTCCTGCCCAGGCTTCTGGAAATGTTGTTATTGAAAATTGTTATTCTGCAGGTGACATTGTTCAGGTTTCCTTCTGCCAGATTGTAATGAGATGTTCGAAACAAGTTAGAATGCCCAAAACAGACGAGATGGAGTTTCTATGTGTAGAGCTTTGTCACGTTCCCAAGCCAGTTTCCATTATGGAATCATTAAAGCACCATGGTGTCCATTGAAAGACATGTCTGAAAGAAATATTTCTCTGATTTTTCAAATTGACCAGTGAGAGAGAGGGGGAGAGAGAGAAACTGACAGATTATGAACCCATCCGTGTCTGGAAACCAATAATTTTTCCTCAATTATTTTTAAAATACTTGACCCGGAACGAAGACTTCCTAGGTGATGAGCTCTGTGAATTCAGTTCCGTTTCATTTACTCAGGAAGCATTTATGGAGACCCGCCTGTGTGCCAGACAGTGTGATGGCATTGGGAATATAGTGGTAAAGCTCATACTGTCCCAGACCCGATGCAGCTTATAATTGAAAGAGGGAAAAGGACAACAGAGTTTGTAATCTGTAATTATACCTGGGTCGAGGGTTATAAAAGAAAAATGGCACGTGGTCTTCCTTGGCTGTTTGGGTGACCTTCCCTTTTCAGGGTGGTCCGAGACTCTTCCCTGAGAGAGAGACAGGCCAAAGCCAGAGGGGTGTGCAGGAGTTGGCCTATTCTTGGAAGCTTTTAGTAGTTGGAATCAGTCCAGACACTGGGCTGTTGGGCCCTCATAGTAACAATAGCTGACACTTCTTCCCTCTTCTTGCCCGTAACAGCTCTGAAGGTGGGCGCAGTTGCCCCTTCACAGGTGTGGGAACAGGCTCGGGCAGACAGTCATCAGGGGCAAGGTGGTGCCTTGCACCCAGGCCTGCTGGACCCCAGGCCCTGTGCTCTCCCCGTCACCCTCAGCCGCCTCGCCTCCCACGTGAGGGGCCGACCGTGCGCCTGCCTCCACGCTGGCTGGCCTCCAGCTGCTCTCCCGGTGTCCCCATCAGGCTGAGCACACCTTATAAGCCTGTGTCCTGGTGCTGTGCGAGCCTCAGTTGGCTGGGAGGGACAGGGCCATACAGAAGTAAAATAGATTTGTGAGGATGTCGTCATCCCATTTGTAGGAGAAATGTTGGCATGTTCCTTTAAACTGAGTCACCGTCTTTCAAGTAACTCAGTTGGTAAATGGAATTCTTTCTTTTGAAACGTTGAACAAGTGTTTTAAAACCGGATTACTTTATTTAGTACCTTTTATTATTTAAAGGTCTGCATAAATGTCACTTGTTAGCTCTGTAACCTTGGGCAAGTTACTTCTGTGAGTTTCAAGTAGGTTTTACAATATTTACTCTGAAGAAATGAAGAAAGATTAAGTAAGATAATATATATAAAGTACCTGGTAAGTGCGAGGTGCCCAGTAAACTGTGGGTAAGTACTGTTAACCATGGAAATGTTCATACCCAGGATGGCTCACATTTAGCAATTCTTGACGGTGGTTGTGGCTCTTCTCCACTCATCTCATGTCAAAAAACAGACCTGTTATTATCTGATCTGGCCCAGGCAGGTGCTCTACTCACGGCCCTAAAGTTCAGAGAGGGTGGTGACTCCCCAAGGAAGGAATGTGAAGGCCCTAACTTTCCCGAGCACCTGGCTATTGGGAGCCAGGCTCCTCAGGCTCCAGCGGGTAACCCGGGTTGTCCTTTTGCAACCAGCGCCCCAGCTGTCCCCACCTTTGCCATCTAAATGTCAGCCTCTCTTCTTACCTCAGTTGCACAGTCTCTTACCCACCTCCCTGGGCTCCGCTTTGCCCTCTTTGCAGACCTTCCAGGGATGTTGGTTCTCAGACCTAGAGCCTCTTCCCCTGACCTCCAGCTCCTCCCCCCCCCCCAAAAAAAACAATTTACACTCACACTTTTATTTTTTAAACATTCTCATGCAGACAGCCTTGGGGGAAAATGTGGAATACCTGCAGTTCTGTCATTTAACCATTACCACCCAAAATTGGGCTTGTGTACCATGCCAGACTCCCTTTGTACATGTTAACCTAAAAAATAAAACAGCCAGTTATTTTACCAGCAAAATGGGTTTATTTGGGAATAGCAGAGACTTGGGACATGCAAGCTATGGCAAAACCACAGGCAAGTCCAACAAAGAAAGGAGAGGAGAGTGGTTTTATGGAGAAGGCAGAAGAGGTTGGGAGGGGCTGTCCTAAACCGAAGTCCACTGGAGAAAAGCAGGAGTTCAGGGCGAGGGTGGGTCCTCACTGGCTGAGTTGCTGGGGTCGTGGATTTCTCGTTGGAGAAGCAGCGTCCGTCCTTCCCTGTTGGGTCTGTAGTCATGATTCCCTCCTGTGGCGGGGGCCTCTGCTGGGGTCTCTAAGTGATGGTTCTTCCTGGGATTGATGGTAGTAGTGTGGTTCCCCTTTCTGGCCTCCCAGCTCCACTTTAGTGGGGTTTCCCTTTATCAGTTTTCACTTACAACAGGAATATTTTGAAAGAAATATTTTTCTGACTCAGTTAGGATTAGGTTTGACTATAAGAAAATCCAAAATAATACTGGTTTTTAAAAGATAAAACTTTATTTCTACTTTATTTCTCCTTCATGTACAAGAAGTTCATAGATAGGCAGTCTGAGGCTAATGACATTTTCATACAGTGGTCAGGGATGTGGTGTTCTCCCCTCTTGCTTTCCTGCCATCCTTAGCACATGAATTCCACCTCACTGTCCAGAATGACTGCTCAGTCTCCCATGACTACATTCCAGCCACGAGGAGGAAGAGAGAGTAAGAGGGTGTGCCTTCTCCGTTTAAGGATGCTTCCTCAAAGGCCTCTCAAAACTCACTCACATTTTATTGACCAGACTTTGGTCACATGCCCAGCTGAAATTCTATTAATAAGGGAGAACAGGTAGTGTGGGGCAACTAGCGGTCTCTGCCACACTGACATCTCAAATAAGCCATCTCTTTTATTCCTCATTCAGCCTATTTTACATTTTTTGATGAAAAACTTCAAACATTTGCAAAGAAAAGAACAGTACAGTGAAGCCCCGTCAGAGAGCTTCCACAGGTGTCTGCTCATGGCCAGTCTTCTTCTCTACATCTGCCCCCTCCCCTGCGCCATGGGAAGCAAACCCCAGACGTCTGTCCTTTCATCTGTAAATGCCTTAGTGCATAGCTCTAGGACAAGGCAAGCTTTTTCTGTGAGGGGCCAGGTAGTAAATATTTGAAGTCTCTCAGGCTACAGGTGATTTCTGCTGCATATTGGTCTCTGTTGCATATTCTTAGTTGTTTGTTTGATTATTTTAATTTTTAAAAGATTTTATTTATTT